TTTCTGATATTGTATCAATAAAGTCAAAGCCAAAGCAAAATATATTAATACAATAGTGTGAGGAGCACTCAAAAAAATTTTTTATAAAAATTACAAATAAAATAGAACACAAAAAGTAAAAATAACATGTAGAAACAGAAAATGAAATAAAATAAAAGGAAAAAACAGTAAAAATGAACTATAAAGCGAGTAACGAAATCAGATCAACTTACATGAGGGTTTTAAAGTGTCGTTCTTACTGCACTACTGAAGTGATTTGTTATTCTGTGCATTGATTTGTTAGTTACCAAGGATGGGCCCGAGGTAAGGGATGGCCCGATGGGCCAAGGATGGTGCGCAAGGTAATATTATACTGGATAATTTTAAAAATTGACAATAAATAGTATTAGAAAATAGATGTTTATTTAAGAGAAAATATAAAATAGAAAAGAGAAACAATCGCAAGAATAGAAACAGTAGAAAAGAGAAACAAGAGAAAACAAACAACTCTTTCGCAAATAATTTTAGCCACGGATTCGCACGAAATGTATTAGCACATGGAAAAATTATGTAAATTGTCAAAGAAAAAAAATTTTAATAGATAATTTTAACACTGGTTTGCCTGAAATGGATTTACACGTGGAAAAATTAACAAAGAAGAAAATTTTAGTAGATAATTTTAGCCACGGAATTGCCCGAAATGGAAAAATATACAATTTCAACTATACTATATACAATTCAATATACTATATACAATTCAATATACTATATACAATTTCAACTAAAAAAACTAAATTTATGCATGAATTAATAGCTGCATTTATTATAAAAGTAATTTTAAACATACATTACCACATGTGCTTTTAAGTTTAATTGCTACTGATAAAATTAGTTAAATTTGTCTAAGTTTTTCGCTTGAATTGCAACAAAAAAAAAGGAAAAGGGATCTTACTGCTTTCTTTAAAAGTTTAATGGCTACAAAAAACAATTCAGGGTCGTATCCCTTATAAAATCTGTTAACTTGTTTGAAATATTTTGGGAAATAGGGAAAGTGGATCTCGAATAAAAGTTTGTTAAATATAAAATTCACTTCACTTAGAAAGTTATTTTAGGGAATTTCCAATGTGTTCTTGGTTCCTCAAAAAAAAAATGGCAAAATAGAGAAATTTGAAAAATGAAAGTTCGTTAAATAGAAGTCCAACTGTATATATATTGAAATAAATTAATTGTGAAAAATTGAATAGGTTTTTTTTTTTAAATTAAATTCAAATAATTAAAAGTATTTCATTTTCTGCAAATATGCTATTAAGTTTACTGATAAAAAAATAAAAATACGAAACTTAGTGCTTAAAACACTAATTTTTACATAAGAATGATCATGGTAACATGACTAAATATGCATATGGCCCCCCTTCACTCAAAAATGTTTTGTACCCTGAATATAATCAAGGTGCATAGCGTTTTTAAAAACTGCTTATTTTGGATTTGCGTTTTTTAAAAGCTTTTTTCATTGGGTTTTTGTGAAACGTCGCTTAGTTTTCTGTCTTTTAAAATGAGATTTTTTTTTTTCCCTTTGCTGTCGATCATAAATTACAATAAAACATTTTTAAAAGAAAACTTGATTTTCTCTGCAATATTTATCAGAAACTAGTTATTTTAACATGATAATATAATGTCTTTGAGAAAAATGTTTGCATTTTGTTGATTTTTATGTATATAAATAAACTTTAAACAGTCAGAAGAAATAATTTTTATTACTGCACGTATCCCGCTTAAGAATTTTTTTTTTTTCAGTGCTTAAAAGGTGCTTTATTTTTTGTTAAAAAAAATCTGTCTATGCGCACTGATAATGTATTTATAGTTTTTTTTTTCTCCCCCAGATGGAGCAAATTGCAGCACTTGTCAGGGACTTGACTTTTGGAAGGAGAACGTGGGAGGCAGCCAAGTGTTCTTTTCCTAGGTTTGAGCAGCAAGAAAATACAAAGGCAGGATAAAATGGTGTCTTCTTGTTTCAAGCTGAGATTAAATGCAGTTGCTTCAGAAAATTGTAAACTGCCAAATTAAAAAATTTTCTCTTTCTTTTTTCCTTGTTTATCTTTTACTTATTGGGAAATTCTACTTAAATACCTAAATTGGGGGGGGGGGATGAATCATCGTTTCCGAAATGTGTATATTTAAAAGAGGAGTAATTGTATTCCCAGGATTGCTGCCATGCAAATAAAATACTTAGATTTAAAGAAAGTTTATAGGATAAAAAATTAATAAAATTTTTAAAAAAATATTCTCTGCACAAAATAATAAATACTTCAATTTTAGCATTTATTTTAAATTAATTATAAGAGGCAGGGGCTGAGAGAGGTAAGAAAAAGAAAGAAAACATTAATTTTAAAGAAAATATTTTCCTTAATAATAAAAAAACTATTAAGATACTTGTTTACAACTCATTATGACCAATTATCATTGCACTTACTATTTACAATGAATACATTTATATACAGTACAGAACCCGTTATCCGGAAATCAGAAAACCAAAAAACCGGAACGAAATTCGGTAAATTTTCCCGCCATTTCTTTAAAAAAAATAATGTTTTTTCCTCATAAGATTTTAGGATTTTTCTTTCTTTTTTGAAAGATGTTTACCTTACCATTATTTTGGAAATAATCATTAGTGTATTACTTCATCGTTTTTTCTTCTTTTTAAGATTATTTCCAAATATTATTTTTTTAGTTGGGTTTAACAATAAAAAAAACGGCTTTTTGTAGCGATCCAGAAAACCGGAAAAATCAGTTATCCGGAATAGCGATGGTCCCGATCGTTCCGGATAATCGGTTCCCTACTGTATTAACAATTTATATTATACTTTAAGAATCTTGATTGCATATTTTTACTGTTAAAATGTAATGATATACAAATAATTTCCCATCATCATAAATTATATAAAATGGTAAGTAGAAAATGGTTATCCTGCAATTTGCAAAATTTTTAAATAGTGTGATAATTTTATCTACTTGATAGCTTTCTCGAGGCATTAAATAAAAATGTAGTCAGTATCGGTTATATAGTCAGCTTATGGGTCCAGAATATTATGACCTAATAGTTAATATGTCGTGAATATATTCTGGAATCGGAATGTATTTTTTAAACAAATAATTCAACTTTTAAAAATTAATTATTAAGGTGCATAATAAGAAAGAATGCGAAAATAATTTTTATACTTTTAGAAAAATTTAATTCTTTACTTTAGCATATGTACATGTTCAAAAAAAATATTCCAATAAGCTTGTCTGTTTCTTCTTCTTGGTTGTTAAAACAACTTTTTCTAAGTCTCTGATAGTTTTTAAATGTTCATCTGCTGCATCTGAATTTGCAAAAAAACACCTTAACCCCTTGCATCCGAAGCGTCATGAAAAGACATTTACAAGCAAACTACGGCAAGTGTCGTTTCATGACGGTCTAACTTTTTTGGGGTAGGGAGAGTAGAAAAAGAGATTCTTGGATAGGGAAAGAAATGGGGGTCAGTTAAGGGAAGGGCGAACAAAGAGAAGGGTTGGCGGTTTACATCAATTACTCAAATCATTATTACTTATCCTTCCCCTAAGTTTCATCTGAATGGGTTGCTTTTTCCTTTGTGATGTGGCCTTCAAAAAAACGCCAATACTATCATTTCAACTTACATTGAAATCTATTTTGAAAAGCACAGCTAAGAAGCTTTTTCTTAAGCAATGTATTTTTTTCTTAAATAACATTATTAAAAATATGTAATCTAAGGGATGATGTTTCGATAATAATCTACTTCAAATAATGTTTTATTTTTTTATCCGCATTTTGTTATCATTAAAAGTAAATAAATAAAAATAATAATATAAAAAAAATTTCAGTGCTTTTATGTTGTTTTAGTTATCGAAATTTTTACAGATTTCAATTGTTATAAAACTTTTTATTGTTTTTCGGTAAAGAATATAATCAAGATTCTTTGAAGAATAAATTTTATCTTCGTTATCTTTCCATTTATACATTTTATCAGATAAGTGATTTTTTACATTTTTATTAATCAAAGATTTATTCATCAAAATATTAAACAAAAAATTTGATTATAAGAGCTTTACTCAATTTTATAATTTTCAAGATTTTTCTGTTTAGTAGAAATACAAAAATAATGATTAATAAATATGGCGCGAAGTATTAATAAAAGTTTTATTTTATTTTATTTCATATTTATAATATTTATTTTCTTTTATTGCATGTGATAAGTTTATTAATACTATATATTTACGTATTTACTAAAAGCAAAACATTTAAACGGAACAAGGGATGTTATTTTTTAAATTATTTTACCTGCCTTTTTTCAAACGAACCTTCAACGAAGATTTAATAAAAGCTATTTAAAATCAGAATGAAATAAAAGTTGTTTAAAACCAGAATAGTTAAAATCCACTAATATTTGATACGAAAAAGCTTTTCGACTAATCTTTCTAATCGCTATAGAATGGGGGGAAAAAAACTTGTTCTTTAACTATAAGTTAGATGTTTTCAAAATAAAATTCTAAAATTAAAGGCTTGCTAAATCACGATAAGCATCTCAGGGTACCAGAAAAAGTATAAATAACTTGATATAATCATATAATTACAGGCTTAGTCATACAATTTAATATGATTTAGTATTTATTATATATAATATATTCATATTATTACACAATTAAAAGTTAGACTTTCTTAAATTTGGTCTTTTTATAGATAATTTAATGTGATTTAAAAATTAATCTGGTCTGGATCAGCTTGAATTCCTGATTAATCAAATTTTGAAAGCTCAGTGAAAATTATTTAGTTCTTGAAAAATATGCATCAATAGTAACAATACTGAATGAACAGGAAGCATAATTTGAATTCAGATTGACCATCATACTATCGCGATTATAAATATTTTAACTACTGAGTGTATACTAAGAACACGGTTGAGTTCTAGAAATATTTTGTTGCGAGAACAATAACAGTACGATTTTTACACTAAAGGTGAAAACGAAGTAATTTCCATGTTATTCTGGGATTATTATTACTATTTTTGGTAAAAAATTAAATACATATTCATTTGCATCAGTACTATATAAAGAAATATGTTTAAAATTTATTATAAGTGTAATATAAATTGAGCAGATTTTATAATCCTTAAATTTGGTTTTTAAAAGAGATCAGGACATGGATTGCACAAATTTGTAGTAAATTATTATTTTTTAGTTATTTACTTAATTATTATTTTTCATTATTTGGGAAAAAACATCCTACTGTAAAAACAGTTAAATTTTAATTGTGAAAACAACAGTTAAAACTCCAATGCATATATTAAAAGGGATTTTTTTAAGGGAAAAGAAACTTTTAACAAATTACATTAACCACCGAAACTGACTTTAAAGTTATCAATCAGTGATGTTACAAATGGGTAAATATAGAACCTTTTTATCATTGTCAAATCATAATATTTATAACGATTACGGAATAAATCAAAATAAAAACATAAAACTATAAGAAAAATTGTTTCTGCTTAATTATTTATTCACACAATTCATATTATTAGGTGTAAGTATAGTATTTAAAAAGAAAAAAACCTGAGCGAATGGACTTTTATATCGTAGGACTATAAGGAATAAAAATAAATTCATTAATTTTAGAATTTTCATAAATATTTTGAAAATAAAACTCGTTAGTTATTTGTTACATCTTACTTCCCCTGTTTCTGTAAAAATTAAATATTTTTTGAAATTACATTGAATTTGAAAATGAATTAATAAATAGAGTTAAAAATAAACCATCTATTGTTCTTGAGTTCTTGTAGTAAGCACTTCAAGAGAATATTACTAGAATCAANTAAAAATAAATTCATTAATTTTAGAATTTTCCTAAATATTTTGAAAATAAAACTACGTTAGTTATTTGTTACATCTTAGTTCCCCTGTTTCTGTAAAAATTAAATATTTTTTGAAATTACATTGAATTTGAAAATGAATTATTCATTGATCTGGTCTGACGGGGTCAGACCAGATCAATGAATCCGTTGATATTAAGAAAATCCGAAACCAGAATGGGAGAGGAATGAATGTCGTTCCAGTCCAGCCCTAAACAGTTCAAGATGTGCTCAGGTGATGCCTGGTTTTGTTGGATTTAGGGCAAAGAGGAAAGATCTTTTGATTTGCAGAAAATGCGAGACTTTTCAGGTATCACTGTCCGGAGCAAATTNCCACTGCCAGTCTGTCTATCCATTTTACTGCCATCAGAGAATATTTTGATGTCGTTTGGAGGGATTTTATTGATGATTTCCAGGGACAATTGTCTGAGGAAGTCAGGCATACAGTCTTTCTTGTCAAGCATGGTAGGGAGGCTTTCATTGAAACTAACATTGGAAAGATCCAAGCAAGTACTAAGATTGCTATGAAGATAAAGAGGTTCAATATTTTCAGCGATTAACAGTTGTGATTTAACATGACTAAAAGGACTGTTTTTCTTTAGCCTTTGATTGCAGGTACAATTATTTAGGTAAATAGCAGTTAAATTGCCTTGGTCTAAACTGGAAAGTTTATTGTAATATTTCACTAAATTAACTTGCCTTCTGAAGTTAAGAGGTTGCAGATCTGCTTCGTAAAGAACGATATCTGAAGGGCAGCTACGTTTCAGTCCAGTGATGATGCGAGCGGCGCTCAGTTGAACCTTTTCCAATTGGTTTAAGTTAGATTGAGAAGCACAGCAGTAGACAGGATAGCCATATTCAAGAATTGGTCTAACAAGAGCCTGGTAGGAAGTCCTAAGAGTAGTTGCATCTGCTCCCCAATCCCTACCAGCGATACACTTAATAATATTTAGGCGCTTCCTAGCCTTCGAGACAATATAATCAATATGTTTGTTACTTGTAAATTCGGGATCGAGAATGTATCCCAGGTATTTTGGGTGTTTCTCGTAGGAGAGCTTCTGGTGTTTGAGAAACAAGGATGGTTCATATTTATAAAGTCGTTTATTAGTAGTGAAGAAGGTGGTTATCGATTTGGTTGGGTTGAAGCTCAATTTGAGTTCATCTGCGTACTTGGACAGGGCTTTT